CACACGGGTGGAACGATTCACCATGTAATGTGTTATATAAATTTTATCTGAACGTTTAATCACACGACAAGTTGGGTGAAGACAAAAAAAAAAAAAAACCCAGCAGCAATGACGCTTCTCCCTCACCTCTATCTTATGGATGCATTGACCTCCATGCATGGCGTCCAGAGCAAAAAAATAAGGGAGAAGAGTGCATGTAAACACTGTGAAGAATTCATCCCACACACACACATAAAAATAAAAAAAGGAAAAAAAAAAAAAAATAGAAGAAGCCATCATTCTAAAATAAATAAAACATAATTCATGACAAACTACAATAGACAAATGGCACACGCACACACAAACACAAACAATAAATAACAGTGCGGATCTATCACGCACACACACACAGAAAAAAAAAAAAAAGAGGGATAAAATAAAAAAACAAGAAAATTCACGGCAGGAGACGTAGCAGGCCATATTTCATTGCTTCCGCGAGCGCATCGGCTTTCGTCAAAATCTGCCGGCCACGCAGCGGGCGTGAGGATCGCGGAAGCGGAGCCCACACCCTCGCCAGCCGCACCACTTCATCATCACCGCCCAACAGCCGTGTCAAAAACGTTGACTTTTCATCCGCTCTAAGCGCCGTCCCTGCAACGCAGTAATACAAAATTGTAGAGAGTACATCTTCCTTCGCATTACGTCCCTCCCGCCTCGTCTTCCTCCGCCTACTGGACTGCTGTGACAACTCATTGCTGTGATCATGCGGTGGTGACGGCTCCAACATGGCCCTCTGCAACGACGCCCTCGCCCAAAAGAAAGATGACGCCCTGTGTCCCTCACGCCTGTCGGAAAAAAGGATTCGTTTTGCCTCGAGTGTCATGGACGTTGCCGGATTAGTGGATGGAGAGCAGCCCTCCTGAAAAAGGGTGTGTTGTGGGCAGCATACCCACTCGTAGTGCTCCACGCCCAAGTGATACCGCAGGGCGAAAAAGACACTCTCACGCCAGGGGTCAATGATCCACACACCCACCGCACCGCGGAGCACACGACACTCTGCAGTCATCCCGTCCTCCGCATTTCTGTTGCCTCCTTTGGCATCTTCCAGTCGCTCCCAGATGCTGTGGTTAGCCGCGTCGCGGTTGTTCCGTCCACACCTTGTCACGTAGTGCATTGTCGATTGTCCGAGGGGTTGTGAAAAAGATTTTATGAAATCCACGTACTCGCGCAACGTCAACGATGACACAGAGGGGTCAGGCAACCCCGGAATGTGGTGCAGCACACCTACTCGCTGGCACCATACAGAACGCGTTTTAGAATCAGGGCAACGTATAAGAAGCACCGTGCGGTCATGGTGCAATCGATGACACGTCTTACCAGCAACATGCATGAAATCCAGAGGCAGTTCCCCCTCATTGTCATTATCACCGCCCTCGTCCATGCCCGCCAGGCCCGATGTCACGCTTGTTTCGCCCGGCAGAAAGCAAAAGGGAGAAGGAACCATCACATCATACACCGCGGCTGTTGTGTGCACCACTCCCGACGATGAGTTGCGGCCCATGTCGGACGCCGGCGCGTGTCCAGAACGGCGAAGCACAACACGCTCCCATGGCACCTGGTGACAACACGCCCTTACACCATCAGGCACACCTGACAACCCCCCCGACAACGCCGGCATCTGCCCCTCGTGAGCGTCTGAATGTCCCACACGACACGTCGCTCCCTTTAAAAGATCCGTAGCACGCGGGACCGCGGGAAAAATGACCTCCAGCCGCCTCAACAACGTCGCTGGGGTTAACACAACTTCACTGCGGATGCCTTTCGATGGCCGAGAGGACTTTGAGCGACGCCATTCCACAAGGGACGTTCCAGCACCGAAGCCGCCTCGTGTTGGAGGCGCACCCCCGCTCCCACGGCCACCCACAGAAGTTGTGAATTTGCCACGCACCCCGTATGCCGCACCGCCTCCTCCAACCACCCAACAGTTCACACACACACGACGAACAGACGCAGTCGGCGGAAACAATGGAGAGGAAAACCAGACGTCACGCAAAAGACACGTACAAGCATGCATCAATTGATGGCTCACCCTTTTGACAGAATATCGATAAAGTGCCAGCCAACTGCCGTGCAAAAAAAAAAAAAAGAATAAAAAGACACAAAAAAAAAACGCAAACAGGGAAATCAACACACAGCGACAACACAAGAGACACCTGCCGTAGAACGAAAACACACACACATACTGAATGCGACACGTCTGGACGAAGTACGGCCGTCAAATATTTTTTAAAAAATCGTTATTTTATTCCAAACCCTCTTCCTGTGCATAAAGCATTACTCCGCCTTACATTCTTAAACAAATAAAACAAGACGATCCACCTGCCTTAAATTTTAATTAAAATCTTAGCAGTTTAGCTTAGGGGGAGAGGGGGGAATAGGAGCCCTCCCAGCCCCTGTGCCGCTGCATTATTGCAACGTGCGGCAACGGACTACAAGTGAGCACGAAGTTTTGCGGCTGCAGGGACAGCGGCGGGAGCCTTGCCGGCATACCTCTCCTCCTCTCCGGCCAGGAAGCGTCTCATCCGCTCCTCCACGCAAACACCCGCATTTCCCAGCGCCTCCGACACAGGGAAGTGATGTGGTGTCAGAGACAGCAGGTGGACACGTGGGATGGCGGCAGCAAGCGCTGCGTCCTTGTACTCCTTCTTCTCACGCATTTGCTCATGCAGCAAACGTCGCACCTGCTCCGCGTCCCGATAGGCAGTCCTGCCACAGATCACCACAACATCCCCCAACAGCTTCTGGCCAACGCTTTGGCGCCGCATATTCTCCACCACCACCATCTGCAGCAGCCTTCCCAAAGTCTTGTTGAAGCGAATGGTCTGCTCGTCAAAGGAACCCTCGCCGGTGATCATGCAGTCGCAGCGTTGAAGTTTCGCCGGAAGGTCCAGCAGCTCCGCGACAACATCGGTACCGGTCATCCACTTCGCGCCCACGACGAAGCGGAAAAAGCCACTCATGCCACCGGCGCCACCACCGCCAGGGGTGTGGCGAAGAGCCTCAACGCGTTGCTTCATCTTATCCTCGCTGGCCTTCCCTCCGTGAAGGTTGCTCTTCACAATCGCAGCGGAAGCGTTCAGCATGCCATGCTCCAGTCGCGACAGTACACGCTCACGGTGCGCCTTCTCCCACGCCGAGTCACACTTCTGCGGGCCAAATATTGCCGTGGCACCGTCCGGGCCAACCAGCGGGTTAGCCACATCGCCAATCAGACGCACCTCCTTGCAGTACGGCGCCGTCCTGGAGCCTCCCGCAGCGCAGAAGAACATCTGCCGGAACGCCGGTGTGAGGCGTGCACCCGTGAGGCGCTCCAGGTCGTCACCAGTGAACGGTGTAGTTAGGGGTTCCGAGCCGCCATCCTTGGCCTTCACGAGCATTTCAACACCAAGAGCCTGCAGCGCACCCAGCCCACGGTCATTCGTGGCACTGCCGCCAATGCCAAGGAACACCGTCACACCGCTTTCAGCACCAGGGCCATCCTTGCGGCGGTGCTCCCTCGCAACATACTCCACGGCGTACTTGATGATCTGACCCACGCCATAGCTCGTCGTGCGGAGCGGGTTCCGCTTGGCCTCGGGGATCATCGGCAGGCCAGACGCAACAGCCATCTCCACCACAACCACGCGGTTCGCAACGTCACACGCAAAATGCGGTCGGTATTCGCCGCCGCTGTAATTCAACGGCTCGCCTAGGGGGCCGAGAACAAGCGGCGCCGGCGTCGAATCGCAGGAGTCGGTGGTGCCAGCAGTCGGCACATCCACTCGGGTGAAGGTGTACGGCGACGACAAGGCCGAGTGGGACGGAAAGAACAGGCTGTCCAGCAGGCCGGCGCCACCATCCGACATGGGGCAGTGCACCACCTCCGCCCGGGCAGAGCCGCCCTTCTCAACACAGCGGAACGCCCGCTCAAGGGCAAGGCCAGCGTTGCACGCGGTAAGTGTCCCTTTAAAAGAGTCACAGCACGTGAGCACGTTCTCCCAAGAATGGCGCCTCATCGATGAAGACATTTAAAATCAATTATCAAACAATTAATTTCGTTTTGTTATTGTTGCTTTCGCTGATTTTCGTGTTGCTATGCACCCTCGCCACAGGCACGTCAAGAAGGCAAGAAGAGTTGAGTACAGGCAAAAAAGAAAAAAAAAACAAGAAGGGGCCAAGTACGACGCCATACACGTGTAAATGCGGCAAAG